TCCTTTCCCTTCCCTTCCCTTCCCTTCCCCTCATTTTTGGGGTCCTGATTTACTCACACGTTAATGACAGTATTTTATACAACTGGTATAAAATATGGGGTTTCCATTCTCCAGTGAGGTTAAGGGAAAGCAGGAGTTGCAGGGCTGGTTATAGCTGCTTGAAGGCTGCTTGGCCGGATGGGGAGCTACCGCTGCGAAAGCAAGGATGACTTACACCAGCAGCGGTCACAGTTTTTGTCAGTGGAGTGTCAAGCAAGGTTCGGCTCTGCCATACTGAATAACTGCCTCCATGGTCTTGCCGCACCCTGTTCCAAATCCATCCCATGCTCCTATTTGTCTGAGGTCGCAGCGGCAGGTGGAATAGGGGTTGGTTTCAAATTGGCTGTTCCTCTGTTGTGCAAGACTGTTCTCACTCTGGGCTTGCTTTCCCTTTCTGATGACTGGGTAGAAGTGAGTGCATCCGAAGAGGTCTATATTAGAAACTCTGTGCAGCAGCCCCACGTGAAACTTGGATTTTACTCAAATGTATGATGCTGGACAGGTTTTTTAGTGCGATGGGAAGAAAACTGACGTAAAATACCTGGTGTCCTCTGGAGTCCTCAAAAGGATCATGTCTTTTCAGCTGACATTCAACTGATGGTGCTCAATACTTTTTCATTTGAAATGTGTGCATGTGTATACTTCAGTCAAGTGTGTAACGTGTGTAATGTGTTTGGGGTTTTTTTTAACGCATTTTTTCCCCACAGTCAGGAGCAACTTCGCTGTTCTTTGCTGCACAGCAAGGCCACAACGACGTAGTGAAGTTTCTCTTTGAATTTGGAGCCTCCACTGAATTTAAGAATAAAGTAAGATGATGGGTCAATTTTTTGCATGCTGATACACTGATTATCAATCAAGGCTGGTTTTTTCCTATTCACGTGAAACATGACATGGCAGTGGGAAGGCGATAAAAGGATTTCCTCACTTGAACATTTGCTGAGTAATGTGAGTAACACAACATATTGTGAAAATACTAACTAGGGACTAGCTTTTACCACCTAGACTTAATGGCATAAGTTGATCCAAGATCAGTCCCTTGACAGTGATACCAGTCTTTCCTCTTAAGCCATCCTCCAGTACAAGAACAAAGGGTCTTTTTGTTCATGTCAGGTAGGATGCCGTTTCAGGTCTATGTGTACTTCACTTGAAAAGGCTGAAATTTTGTCTACATTGGGATGTCCCCGCATACCACCATAGGATACATGAGTATAATGGCTTCAATCTTCCCTGAATTCCCATTTACCCATCTGTGACAGGAAGAAGAAATGCACCTCGCAGCTTCTATTTCTTTCTTCAGGCAGGCCCTTTTTCAAAATCTTCTTAGCATAGCCAGAAGCACAGATGGCAGAGCCTGGGTCTGGTCCGTCACCCCTCATGGGGGGAACAGCTTTAAGAACAGCAGTTCATTATTGACAGCAGTACATCAACTCAGTTTCTTCGCCCAAAGCAGTACTAGCACCTCTGCTTTCAGCAAACAGAACCAAAAGCAACATATTTTCATTAGGTATTCTTGCCCTTGACGTGCTGGCCACATTTTGGAGCAGTCCTGTAAGCTGGAGAGGACGCTTGCCAGTCACTTACCCTGGGATCTATAGCGATGTGTTTGAAGAAGAAGGAATAGCTCTTTACCCCACAGTAACCAATTTTTTGAGCTGTTATAGTCTGTGATGTGAATGATTCCCTCAACCCATAACTGCTTTCCAGAGTGCCTGGAAAGGCTTTAGATTTTAAGGGAATTGGTGGAACATCAGAGGCTCAACTCTTTATGCTCCAGGGACTAAAAATCCTGAGGTTTTGTGGCCAGAGTCCACACATGTCCATACAGAATGATTCCGGTACCCCAGGGAGCTACGCTTGTGGTAAGCAACTCTCTGACCCAGCAGCAATCAGTAAATTTAAAAACATGAATGAAATTGTGGCTGTTTAACATGGAGTGCAGCTGTGGAACTTGGCAATGTAGGAGGTTGCAATGTTAAATACAACAGCTGGATTTTAAAGTGCTGGGTAATCTCATGTGGGACAGAATTATTAAGAGAAGCTGCACATTAAAATAAAGGTTGCTTCTCGGTCTTTTATTTCAGGGTATAGCTGAGGGTTAGCAGGATTCAGAAGGATCATCTTCTCTTGCATTCAGCTGTATACTATTGGGCGAGTGAAATTCCATTGTCCTTTGAGTCATCTGGCCACAAAGGCCACAGAGCCATGCTGAAGGAGCGAAGGTGTCCCAGGCATAGGAAGAGCCTGGGGTACTCACTGCAGCTCAGCATGCAGCTGGGCAGTGGTTTTGCAGGAGGAGGGAAGGCAGTGAATGCAGGAAACTTGGTAAGGAGGGAAGACAGAGGCGGAGTACCTTATTCTGTCTAGAGGGACAGTGCCATTTTCACCATACCCTTTCCACAGCCTGTGAACTAGGAGTTTGTGAAGAGGCCAAGACCTGGCCCAGAAGGTGAGCAGCAGGCTTGAAATTGTCTGATCCTTCATGACAACGTGTGATCTTTTATGAAGCATGCAAAATAGATTGGTGTGAGTCACCAGGGCAGATAAAAGGGAATAAAGATCTAAATGAAAAGAAAATATTCCTGCATTCAGACACTGCTAATGGCTTCCACCTTTGGACAAATGCAGGTTTGGGCTCTGCAGTTGCTCACCTTGAAATTTTGCTCCCAGCCCCCATATTCCTGCCTGCCTCTTCTGAATTCAGACCTGACCTGGCCTGTGTGGCAGTCCTAAGTATCTTTTAAGCTGCAGATTGCTTTTCCTCTCCAGGCCACAGTTTTCTGCCACTTCCAGTCAAGCTGGTTGTAAGACAACACCAACTCCCAAGGGACATAACATGAAAACTGGCTTGTGATGTGTATGCGAGGCTATTTTCCAGTAGCATCAAGCATGCCTGCCCAAGCACTCCCTCCTTCTCATCACCTCTTCAAGAGGTGTATCAGTCACTTCAGCACTGACAGTATGGACAAGCTGTAGTGCCTGAAAAGGCTCTTAGAAGGCGAACAAAGGATAGCTGAGTTAGAACGACAGTATGCACCTCCCGTTGGCCTTCGAATGTGTTTTTGTATCACTGCAATTTTCTGATTTAATAACGTATTTTTTATAGATTGGAATGATTCAATCAAACCATTGTTCTGTTAACGGGCAACTAAGGTAACAGGCTCCTTCATCCCCCTGAAACCCCAGAAACAATATAGTTGGAAAAATACGCGTTTTTAGGTCAGAGATAAAGCATTTTCTGATGAAGGCACTCAGCAGGGAGGGACTCTGGAAAAGATAGGGCTGATCCTGGCTGCTTTTAAAAGGTATTGCAGAATTAATCAATTTGCAAAGAGCTTTCTATTGTAAATGAAGATGTGGAATTGAAATAAGAAAACAAACTGAGTGTGTCCTAGGAAACAGACACTTTAAAGCAAGGAAATGCAAAGCCCAACGTTTTCTTTTTCATGTACCTCTCTGTGAATTGTAATTACTACATTTGTTACTCATATGCAAGAGTGAGGAGAACTATTTTAATATAGGCGTTCAATTCTTATTACCTGTTGTATCATTAGAGTTGATATTCACTACGTCAGGCAAGGCAACCATGTTTTAAACCAGTGTAATAAGATGATTAGCAATAATCGCTGATGTTGTAAAGAGAATAAACAGTACTACTGAAGGTTATTTTATGTATATATTAAAAAAAAGTATTATTCAATAATATCATTCTACATTGTCCCAGTAGACATCCCTAGAAGTATGCATCATAAATTGAAACATACTCTCTTTCCTTACTCCGAGTCATGTTATAAGCATGTGGCTTCTTAAAAGGGTTTTCATGGTGGCGTGCTTTCTGAGCAGTACCGCAGGTGGAACAGTATGTCAGAGGCTATTTTTCAGCAGGGAGTGATTGCAGAAGATCAGTTCCCCTTCCTTGCAGCATATTTCAGAGATGATAAAACACCGTATAATTTTAAGCTGCTTTCAGGCGATGACAACAGAGGTGAAGGAAGAGGTAGGCAAATAGACAGGGAAGTCTACACCAGATAGGTCTTACTGGGTGCTGCTGTTCCACGTGCTTACATGGGAGATTGGGAGCTGCTGTATGTGTCACCAGTAGGGAGGACAGGCTGTGTGGGGACATGAAGAACGGTTTCAGAGGAAGAATTGCAGAGGTAGCTGAGAGAACTGGCTCCTCTCTGAGCTGGAAAGGTTTGCAGTGAAGGATTACTAGAAGCTAGGAAAACAGGATGTGAGCAAGGAATAAACGCAAGGTGATGTGCCTTCTCTCTGCTGCCGTGGCCCTCAGAGCACCTCTGTGGTTGCTCATGTGTCTCTGCTCCCGCTTGCTGCCCTGCTCAGAGTTTCCAACAGGCTTGCCAGTACTAAAGATGCTGCTTCAGCTTTTTACTCATCTCAGGTGAAGCCAAAAAGGAAAGAGGGAACCAAATGGCTGGAAGGGGTGTTAAAACTCTGTCATTTACTTCCGTCTTTTTTTTTTTTCCATAGCTTGTCTCCCTTCCCTATGGCCTGTAAAACATCGGGGTCTCCAGCTACACCTTGCTGGAGGAAAGTGTAAGAGAAAGCAAGAGGGAAGCTCAATAGGGGGGCGAGGGGCCTGAGTTAGCTTTGGAGGCCTGCTTTTTGTTTGGGACCTGTCATTTGGTTCCCTCCAGAAATTATGTTAGTATGAAACAATCTTCTTAAAATAACAGGAGTTTGTTGAGACCACAAGAATTTCAGAAAACAAAAAACAGACCATAAAGCAATAAACAAACTGTTCCTGTGTGCAGCTAGCTGACCATGTCTATGTACTCTCCACATGGGGAGCCTCAGTATGTTTAAGCTTCCTGCCTCCCCGCAGAGGACCTCCGATTTGGATAGCACAGTTTCTCTCTTTACTCACTGGTCTTTCTTTCTCCATTTCCTTCAGGGAAAGATTCTTTAAAAATGTCTCTGGTTTTCGTTTGTAGCCCTTTGATCTGGTAACTCAGTACTCGAGCAAAATGTCTGTCAGCTGGTTGGAGACAGGAAATAGGTTTCCCAAAGCTATTAGCTTTTGCCATTGTCTTTTAAGTGCGTGTAAGGTGTTTTTTAATCCAGGAACCATTGTGGTTGCTTTTGTGTTTTGTTCCAGCAGTCCCTAGTAAATTAGAGTAGTTTAATTTGACAGGAAAGTCTAATGACTCATAGCTATAGAGTAACTTAATTCCACCGACCTGGTTACACACTGTATTTACTCAAATAATCCAGAATTAATACACAATTCTTAGATTGTCACGTAAGAGCTTCACATCTGTGACTTTGCTGACACTCAACCCTTGTTTGCTTTTCAGTGTCATAGGGAGGAAGGGTGCATATGAGTGGTTTAAGAGTAGTTATAGACAGTCCCTGTGGGTTAGTTCAGTCATGTCACAGCTTGAGTTTTTGTGAGGTTATGAGAGACATGAAATAGCACCACAGATTAATAAATTTGATTGGCACTTCCCATTATAAAAAAATCTGTTTGGCCATTCAAGCTGTAACTTCGCTTGTGGATATCTGTCTGTGTGGAAAATTTCAGACAAAACTTTGGAGCTGTTTCAGAGAACAAGGCTGAGGGAAAACAGAGTCTTTTGCCCACATTAGTAACAGCTCTGGAAACCATTTATCTGAAATACTTTAGATATCTTATCTTGTGGAGGAGGGGCTTGAGACTGGGAGAAGGCAGGGAAGGAGAGAGAAGACCTCTGGTGTGGATGACTTGGGGTGTGCATCATCCTTGCACAATGGCATGGTGCCATCCCAGGCAGAAGATAAGAACTTCCTCTCCATATCAGCGTCAGAAATAATGGTAATTTTTGAGTAGGGCACAGTGCATGTAAGATGGCAAGACACACATTTGCTCTCTCAGTTTTTTCGGCTGGCTTGGGGTCAATTGCCAGCAATGCTGAGGTGTTTCCCTTCTCAGATGGCTCCCAGGGGAGTGTCTCTACAAGCAGGATTCGATGCATGTGCCTAGGTCTCCCTTTAGTGGTTATGTGCAGCAACTATAACTGCTTGGGGTTGATCCTACCTGCAGGGATCACTTCTTCAGCAGAAGTAACGGAGCTTTCACTGGTGATCATGGGTTTTGTGTGATTCACACTTCTGCAGTTACCTAGCATGCTTTGAAATGCATCTTCCCTACTCTTCTTCAGGCCAACAATCAACAGGTGAGAGGTAGGACACAGCAGGGCTGACTCCCTACTCTTCTTCAGGCCAACAATCAACAAACAGGTGAGAGGTAGGACACAGCAGGGCTGAGGTTCTGGCCAAAGAAGAGTAGATGATCAGTAGGCTTTGGAGCAGGGGAAAGGTGTGCTGTCCTTCAATAGGTGGAAGACCTTGGCAGGGGTTGGGGATTTGGCTGTAAAGGGAGGAGACTTGGAGGAGCTTGGAGTTGTGAAGGGAACAAAGCTTCTCGTGGGAAGGCAGAAGACAAGGAACAAAAAGCAGAATTTTCTTAGTTCCCGTCCCTCACTAAAAAAAACCTTAGGAGAAAAATGTTTATAGTGACAGAGCCAAGTTTAAAGATTTATGTGGCAAGACTTGGTACTAAAATTATGAAAGACTCAGTAGCTAGTAACTACAGAACTGCTGTGAGCCAAATTCTGAAAAGCCGTAGAAGTTGCTCTTTTTTTATGGTGATGCTCAGTCCAGCACCTGCCCTCTCAGCTGACTGTACCCATTCCTTTCTTTTTCACAGGATGGAGGTACTGCTCTTCTCGCTGCTTGTCAGTACGGGCATGCAAAAGTAGTGGAAACTCTGTTGAAGCACGGTGCCAACATTCACGATCAACTTTATGTGAGTTATTTGACGCAGATAATATTGACAACACTGGTGGTGGAACAAATGTGCTGTTGGTTGGACAACGGTGGATACTCTGGCTCCAGCACAGAGAAGCATTTGCCAAATGTTGTGGGTTTATAGTACTCTACTCTTCTGAGATACTGATTTTGTTAACTGTCTGCTTTTCATGATCTCGGGAGAAGTCGCACAAAATCAGAAAAGATGTTTTGGCTGCCTTTTGGTTCATTATCTGTATGAGGGATATGTACCAAATCTGGATCGGATTTGTCCTATCCATTAGCCTTGAACAAAAGACCTTGTTATGTTCTACCACAATTTGTACTGCAGACAGAGGAGCGAATAGCTATAAAGCCCCTGAGGTACTAGAGAATCAGTTCGCCAGGTTTATACCAGAAAGAGGAGTAAAAGTTAAAATCTTTAACTCTTCAAATATCTTTAAAATATTCTTTTAAATATCAGTTAAAATTATGTTGTTTGGTATTTGTGCATCTCTAGCTTGTCAGTGTTTCGGGCAAAGAATGGTTAAAATCGCTGGACTGACGTTGTTTAGTTGACTTCAGAAAGCTGGATTGAGCCAATGAAGCACTGGATTTAATTTACTCCTACAGAGACACAAATAAGTTGAGCTTTTCAGCATTCAACAGAAATGAGCGGCAGATTTTCCCTCCACTTCCCATCACTCTAAAAAAGGCACTCAAGACTGACAAAAAGGAAGTTGTTCTCCAGGGATATACGTGGGGTTTTTTTCAGCTGTTTCCATGGGGTTTGGATTTGCAGGATGCTGTCACGCTTAGGTCCCTGAGCATATGTGGGAGGCAAGGGCTGGTGACCCCAGAAGCCACCGGCGTGCTAGGGGCTGTGCCGTGGTCGCACAGGGTGTCCCCACCTCTGTGCTGCCCTCACCCTGCGTTTACAAAGGGTGCCCCACCTCGCGGCCGTGCAAATAGCAATTGCCTTTCTGATCTGAGGGCAGTGATTCATACCGCGGCACAGTAATCCCAGGGGTTACCACTCAGTTTAAAAATAGCCACGTTGCCACACCTGCAGACACTTACCTAGAAGTAAAGAGAGTAAAATAACTTCCTTGTTGGCTCTCCTGGAAATAAGCAATATTTGCAATTGCATTTAGAGATGTATTTTTATTGCTTACAGGCACTGAGCAAAACCAGTCAGAAACAGCTGCTTAATGAAATAAGAACACAATCTCTTGAAAATGAGCGTTAGCCTGGCTCCTGGTGTGGGACATTGCCAAGCTGCATTTGCAAAGTGGTATCTGGCTAACAGTTTTCACTGGCAGGCGGCCAAATGAGAGGGATGCATTTCAGTATTCCTCCCCAAACCATCAAGATAGATGTTATCATCTTAAACTGACTCATGTGAGGGGTAGAGGAGAAGACCAGAGAATATCCTAACTAAATAGTACTTCTTGCAGAAATATGTTATAGCCTCAAAACAGCTTTCTCATTACAGCATCAATTCAAGTGCAAAAAACCTAAGGACTTCAAAAATGTTTGGGTGATAGGGAACCCGAGGTTCTCCATCTGGATCGATGCTACGATAAAGAACTCTCTTAATATTACACAACCTTGTTTACTTTCTAAATGGAAATGTTCCCACTATACCTGTCTCTGGAGGACGCCTGCAAAGGCCCTGATACCATCACCCTATTTCATGTACTCACATAGCAACCAGAGATAACAGCCCCTCAGAGGGCCCAGGGTGTGCATTTGTAGTGCCAGCAGACACCTCTGCTGTTTACCAGGACATTTGTCTTTAAATCAAGGTCAAACATTCTAGATTCAGTCCCTGGGGCACTATATTCAGCTCATGCTTCACTAAGTCAGTGCTGAGTTTTGCAGGAAGAGGAGTAGCTAAGCAGTATCTCTCGGCAGAAAACAGCATTCGGTCCCAACATAGTGACATGCCAACAAGGTCAACAACGCGCTTCCGCTAAAATGCCCTGTATTTTGTGATAAGCATATGCATGAGTTGGCATGAGATGTGTACTTGCACATCTGAGATGCAGTGATGTCATTCATGTCTCTGTTTAATCTAAAAGAGTCTCCCCTCCAGGGAAAACTTGCTCTAGCACATTCTGTGCTGAGTGCGGTGGGTACAGGATGGGTAATCACCTGTCCCACCCTCAATGCAGATTTCCTCTTCCAGTTGGTTGGATGGATTATAGTGCTGTTTGAAAAATTTTCATCAAAAAAACTTAATGAAATATAACTTTTAATTTTTTTCCTAAGGAAGAGGTTTCTGTGAAAGACATGTTGAGGAAAAATAAAATCCCATTATTGGTTCACAATTTGTTCTTTCACAAGCTTTTTGCAGGAAAATGCTTGTTTCTGATAGGGCTATGAGATACTCTGTCTTGCATGCGCTACTTTTACATTATTATATTACAGGTGAGGGTTTTTTCCTACAAGATGTGCCAGAGCAGTGGCATGGTAGTTGCTGGGGTGGCACAGTAGTATTGCACAGTACTTACTCCTTCAGCCTCAAGGGCAGACTTCAGTGCTGGAGTCTCCAGTCTTGCAAAGTACTTGAGCATGTTTTCACCGTGTGTCTGTGTAGTAGAACGCTTCTGCATGAACATATAAAAGCTAAATGAAATGTAAATGTATATTGCTATACAGGAATTAGTTTCTAGTTATGTAGATCAATGCTTCAATGAACTAGTCTCTGAGTATTCCAGACCCAGGATTTAATACTGGGTTTGATATATGATGGGACCAGTACTTGTGCATACCAAATTAAAATGTTACCATAGTTTGTCATGAACTAGACTTTGGATTTTGGTAATTATTTCTTGAGTATGGCTGTACATCTGCTGTTACAATGCGTAATGGCTTAAGAATGAGAACTTGATGCAGTTTGGTTTGGTTTTGTGTGGAAAAATGGCGTCATTTCAACACAGCGTAAGCTGGATGTATTTGTTCTTAGGATGGAGCTTCTGCAATTTTCCTGGCAGCACAAGGAGGCTATCTGGATGTCATCCGATTGCTGCTTTCCTCAGGAGCAAAGGTTAACCAGCCACGGCAGGTAAGCTCAACACTTCAGGGCAGAGCTGGGGTCTAATTTTTTACAGTTATGAAAAATTAACACTGGAATTTTCTCCGGTCATCAGGTTCCCACGGAGGTGTTTCCCTGGAAGGCAGATTGCAGCTGTGCCTGCATTCGTGTTTTAGTTCAGATGGCTAAGGCGGTTTTGAAGCAAGTAGCCCAGTCATTTCTGCTTGCGTGCAAGCGAGACTGTTTCTAGAAGTGAAACTGGGAGCCCTGTTCTAGGTCTGCACCAGTTACACCTACACCCTAAAGCAGATCACAGCGCTGACTGATCCTTTGAACAGGTTTGAACCACATGCACAGCTGGGCCAGGGACCAAACTGAATAAAATAAAACCCTCCAGCTGTATGTGGTGTTGATGCAAGGGCCTTGCACTACCTCTTGCAACTAGTGATCTGCTTCTGTTGAACCAAGTTGTTTGTGAAGGTCAGCATACACAGCCTACCACATCTCTGCATTCTTTTGGAAATCCTTGGAAAAGCTTTCCAAAATCTGGTATCTCTAGCAGGAGACAGTCCTAAATTCGGTATAATGAAATCACCAGGCCTTCAGTACTGCAGCTTCGGTGTCGAAGCTGATCTTTGACAAAAGCTTTTACTTTTAGTTTTACTCTGTGACACCCTGTACTCTGAAACTCAAGCATGAGTGTTATCTTCATCTCTGGAAGTTCTTGACACTTGTGGAAAGCCGTGCTGTGCCCGTTGCCAGCTGGTTACTCTAGTGGGCCTGATCCTGCAAACGCATATGACCAGTGACAACTGTAAGCATGAAATTAGCTCCTCTGTAGGCAGTGGGGCTGCTGTTTGATCATTAAACCATGTGTATGAGCTAGATTTGTGGCTGGTTCAGAGGTCCCTGGTAGGGGGCTAAGGGCTAGATCCACCTTGCATCACTGTATCCTGGTGTTAGGCAAGGGTGCAAGAGACTGCCTAGGTGTTGAACTGTGGGACATGTAAGCATACATGGTGTACAGAGACACATAAAAGCTCACTTGGTTTCCAAAAGAGGGTTCCTTAATTGTTTAGCTGGTTCTCGACTCTAAAATCAGTGCTTAAACAGCGCATTTAGATGCTGCTTTGAGTAGCCAGATGCGGGAGTTGCACAGCTAGCTTTACTGCCAGCATGTAGAAATGTCTGGTTAGAGACAGGGCTTCCCAGGAATCTTTTCCTGCTTTGAGAGAGCCTCCCCTGTGGTCTGCTGAAAGCCTGCAGGCAAGGTAGCTGTCCTGGGTCTTCACTGCACATTTTAAATTGATGGGGTAAGGTCTTGTCCTTGTAATCAGTCATGTGTGTCTGCCAGGAGGCTGCAATCACTGACTGCAGCAAGTAAAAAATCAGCAAGCAGGAGCAAATGAATGTGAAAGCTGTAATAACAGTGGACAACGTGGCATGTGACAAGCTTTGCCAGGTATTTTCAGTATTTCCTTTCATCTACACCAAAAGCCTCACAAATCATAGCCTGGCAGCAGAGATTGATCTATATGACTTCTGCTGCATCTGTAGGTCTGTATAGCCTCCTTGCTGCTCCTGTAGCGTAAGGAAATTGGATTGGTATTTTATGTGCCTAAAGTAAAGTAATTTTCCTGCTGCCTCTTCCCCGACCTCTCCAGCACGAGAGCTGTGCTGGCAGCTACTCCCTGGACTGATGCTTTAGCTGCTCCTAGGCTGCCTCCACACTGTCTCCCAAGATCAAGATTAAGAAGTGTTAAAAGCTGCTAATTAACACTGTCTAAAAGATCAATGTAGGAGGATAGCCCAAGGTATGCATTAATGCCTTTTGAGTTGGTCAAAATAAAGCTGGGGAGCCTTAGAGTTAGCTGAACCATGTTGCCATAAGAACTGCACTCTGCTGACCATAGTTACAATGCACCAGCTAATTCTTTCTGACAATATTTTTTTAGCTCTCTAATCCAATTTCTACAACACAACGTTTTATGAGGAATTTTTAAATCTTAGTTGAGGCAAAGACTTGACTCTGCGTGAATGTTCCTCCTGGCTCTGTTTCATCTCCGGCAGGATGGGCTTGCTTTGCTTCAGGGTACCTCCGATCCCTGCTAAGATTATGCCTGGATAAGTCAGTGGCATTTATGTTTGGGCCCACTGTAATCTGAAACATTTCCTTAACAAATGGAACATTTTTACTGTTTAATTAGTAAAGTAATGGTTGGATGGACTTCAGTCTCTTTCTTGCTAACAAATTTGTACTTTGTTCGAAAGGGGCATGTTGGTCATGAGGAATGTAGCTCTAGATGGGGCAGTTTCGATGCCAGATGACTTACTGTCAGTAACAAACCACACTGCTCTCACTCCTGTAGACAACTTTTCTAAGCAACAGAACATCAAATACAGGGCTGCAGACTGCCAGGCGTGAGTTCATGCTTCTCCTTCCTCATGGTATCCAGGTTTTCCTCTCTACCTTGTGAATTTGGGGGCTTAATTCATCTGCCTGAGTGCAGGCACCTGCCCTGTATGTCTCCTCCTGCTGCGCCAGTGGGCACCAGTTCCCCTTAGGTCTCATTACCCATCTCCCAGTCCCACAGGGGTGCTCCTGACACCGTAGAGAATCTTGGATGGTGCTGCCTGTCCGTGTGCAGGCCCTTCAGCTTAGCTCTCACAAGACTGAATAGTGAAGCTTCCTGGCAAATTTCTTCCCTGGCAATGTTACTCCTCTTGGATTTTAGCCGCCTTCTGTTCTTTCTGACATTGTGGAGCCGGGCAGGAATTCTTTTGTCATCTTTTTGTCTAGACAGAGCTGGGGGCAGTGTCTGAAGCCTGGTGTGGGAGACGTTTCTTTGCTTCTATAACTCAAAAACAAAGCGAGAAAATCATTTGGCAATGAATTTTACCCTCTCTTTTGGCAGCCTACGTCCCAGCAGGCTTTAGCCTGACTGGCTAAGCAGATTCAAAGTACTTTGAAAATTAAGATGTTTTTCTTAACACACGATATGCAATCACACATATGTGTAAGCCAGGAAACCTGTATAGAGTATAGACTTCAGACAAGCAAGCAATTTCTTATTAAGAAGAATTCAGCTGGTGTAGTGATGTGAGTGGACTGACGTGCAGAACAGAGAAGATTATGCTGAGTAGCCTGAGAGTAGGGACTCTCTGTCCCTGGAAGTCCTTACTGGGAACTCCAGCAGTATCTCACCTCCCACCCTAATCTGGCCCTTTCTAAAACTCCAAGCTACCAGCACACATTGAGGTTCAAAGCTGCAAAGCAAAATCTTTGGTTAATAAGCGAGAGAAAGAGCATCAGAAATTCCAGTCAGAGTATGTTTGGAACAGCTGGACATAATGAGATAAAATTCATATCTATTAGCTTGTAATCGATACAGAAATAAGCACAGCTCAAAAACCTATGGGGTGTTTAACATTGTTCTAGGAATGTAGTGGTCTACAGTCTGTTGGGTGGGCCGAGGGACAAGAAAAGTAAAGTAGTTTTTGAACTGTCTTTCCCAGTTCTTGCTTTCTTCCTGACTCATCTCCGAGCCCTAATACCTGTTTACAAAGGAATTCTCGTGTGGCCTCTCAGTACAACGTAATATCCCTTTTGCACCATACACCAACACGAAAATAGCCAGAAATCTCATCTACTCCATATAAATATTACACACGTTTGCATAAACACGCCTGTGAGATGCTGTTTGCTTAAGAGAGAGAAGCTGACAATAGCCAATGTGAACCCACCATCAACTTCGTCATCTTTTTTCTCGTCAGGCTACGTCCTCCAAAACAGCCACTTTTTCTCACAATGTATTCTTGCCTCTAGCCTGTAACTGAGATACTGAGGATAATGTCTGCCAGCAATACTGTTAAGGACAGTCAGTGGTAACAGTGATGTTCCCCAACACTTGTGTTTCCTCCTGCTCGTTTTCATTTGTACCTGAAAACAGAAGTCGTTCTTACAAACTTCACTGTGAGTAGAAGAAAGCTGCTGTGTTCCCGGTGCTGTGCTTGTGCTTGCATTTCTTGTGTAAATAGAAGCGTGGATTTGCACAGCGTTGGTTCTTCATGCAGATTAAATTCTGGAGGCTGCTCTCAGATATTTTCCAAGTTTCATAGGCTTTTTCAATGCCCCTGTTGCTATTTTCTAGAGCCCTCTGGTGGGGGGAGATTAGAAAAAATAGGAAGTGTCAGGTTGCTGGTAGGGAAAACGCTACAGATTGGAGAGGGACAGTTTTTGCCATCATGCTAACATTGCATATGCTGTATACAAGAGAGCCTTTGTTATTTTTGAATCACAAAGAACACTAATTGTATTAACAGGATATATACTAGAATGAGGCCAGTCGCTAATTTCAATGAGTTAATTTCTAGAGAAAGATACAAGAGTGGGCAAAGATCCTGTTCCTCACCATTTGAGAAGGCTGAAGGTCTCAGGACGTGCATTTCCTCTTCCTCAGAATCAGAAAAAGGGAAGCCAGAGTATTATATCAAAGGAAGAAACAACTTTTCTGTTTCTTCCAAAGGGTTAAGTCAGTAGCCCATAGAAAGCAGAGAACTGGTTCAGCAATGGTGACAGTGGATTGCGTGAACAAGTCATATGAATCTCCAGTTGGCACTGAGGAGAGAGATTGCTTCTTTGATCAAGGTGGAAGTATCTTATTTAAAGTAAAAAGTTGTTTTCTTCTGAAACTTCTCATTAAGGCTCTTTTGGAAGCCCCAGTATATTTTGCCTTCCATTTTCCTGCCAAGTCTTCAGGCTGCTGAGGGTGGCGAGGGGAACTGGCAAGCGCTGAAGGCAGAAGCAGGCACCCTGCTGCGTGGGGGCTCACTTTTGTGTTAAAGTCCATACAGGCAAAGCCTTTTGGTAAAAGCCCTGAGAATCAGTTTGGCACCACATAACCACTGGAGTCCTCCTGTAGTCCGGAGAATCAGGCTATTTAGAAGCAAAAGGAGGAAAAGACACAAAACAGAGTTCTAATTGAGGTGAGAAATACTTCTAGTGCTTCAGCTCACCTTTGCCTTCAGGATGGAAATCAATCACAAAGTTTAGTTTATTCTGAATGCGCATTTTATTTTGTGAGGCTTTCTGCTCAAATAACGATTGCACAGCATGATTTTTCCAAACCAGATTGTTTCATGCTGGATTCCTCGATAACTGCCTTGTTTTCTAGTGGTGTTCCAGAAGATCAAATTTGTGAAAGACTCACCGTCACTGTAAGGCAGGACGGTTTTACCAGATTCCCTGAGGGTGGATAATATAACTTAATATTGAAAGTTGGTGATCATCTTGCATGGCTCCTTAGCTTCTACAAACAAGTTCCACTCCATATGTTCTGCAGAGACCCAGCTGCAGAATCTGCCCATGCACGCCCGTGCCTGTATCTTCTGTTACGTCTAGGCACCTAGAGTTCAAAGTGCTCAGGATACCTTTGGCCTTTACATTTCAAACTTCCCTATGTATTTTACACACGACTGGTAAGCCAAAGGGGGCTTCACCTTGTTCACACAGCAAAGCACATTTCAGGCCAACTATGCAAAAGACAGCAACTAAGCGTGGCTCTACTCCACAACTGGAGCAGTTCTGACTTGATCCACCGAGGTCCCACGTGCTTTTGGAAGCAGCTCTGCATATGTCTGTCTGTGATGCAGGATTTAGTTGAGGAATTGAAGAATGTCTGTTCCAGTAGGTAGACTTGGGCGGTAAAATACCAGGGAGCATCAGATCTCGAAGTGAAACCATTAGCAGTCTTTTTTTTTTTCTGCAGGACGGGACGGCTCCCTTGTGGATTGCATCTCAGATGGGTCACAGTGAGGTGGTGCGAGTAATGCTGCTCCGGGGAGCTGAGCGAGACGCCGCCCGGGACGTGAGTAGCATTTCTTCCTGCACTCTGTCTGCAGCTTAAGACCCCCTAGCTTTTTCTGAGGCTGCAAGTCTGCCTGAATGAGGGCTGGTGTCCCCAGAGTCCATCCTGTTTGCCAGGTTGTAAAGTCCCACCACAGGCTCCCTTTTTCCTGTTGTGTCTGGAACAGGTTCCTGGAAGGACCTTCTGGAATAAGGGAATGGAAATGTCCATATAAATGAGAGACAAAGATGATGTATGCTGTCACTGGTTCATTTTACCCTTAAGTTTTCACCTGCCAGAGGAACAGTCCTCCAGACGCCCTAAAACCAGCAGCATATGCTGTGGAGGTGCCTCCTCAAAGACAATGAGCAGAGGAGACCCTCCTCTCAGAGCCGTGGAGGAGAGTGGGTGTTTCCCTCCAGCCAAGGGAATGCAGGTAAAGCACTGGTAACAACTGAACTGACCTTCCTCTCTCTTTTAAAGGACGGTACAACTGCTTTACTGAAGGCTGCCATTAAAGGGTACAACAACGTGATAGAAGAGTTGCTGAAATTCTCTCCCACGCTTGGCCTGCTAAAGGTTAGTTGTGAAACATGCAGATTTTTAGGCAGAAACTTAGGAAGGCAAAGGGTCCGATGAAAGACGTGGCGTTTACGACTATGCCAGCAGAAGACGATAAGGACCTTGAGCCCAAAAAAGTCAAGAGAAAACCAAAATTACCTTACTTAGCCTTTAATGCCACACACAAAGGAATCTTTTCAAACAAAATGGTGAATTTTATTTTTTTGAATGAGGAAGCACATTGTGTCATAGCAGGAATTCTTCTGCTTTTTGTCATCTGATTTTATTTCTACTATATGTGTATTGGTCTCGATGGTACAGTTTTTGGCATTGTACCCTGCCCTCCGTTGCATTTAGTCAGCAAAACAGTGTCCTAAGAGATCTGTTGTGAGACGATTCTCTGCTTGATTTTGTTTTCCTCTGAATTCAAAAAGTGACTTGAGAAATAACAGATATTTGGAAGCTGCTTTTTAATAGCTGATCTAATTTTATGTGCCTATAAATCACATACTTTGATAGCCTCTGTGCATGCAACTAATTTCCAATTTGATGTACTCAAATCCAGGTGACATTACCTCAGTTGGTAATTACAAGTACGAAATAGCTTCCACGTTTATTTGAACTGTCAGTTTGCAGCCACAAACAAAAGGCCAGCCGTAAAAAAATCACCATTCGGCTGTCTGACATTGAGACCATTAAGCAGATAAAATGCACAGATGGTTTCCCTTACTGCTTGTGCTTCTGTTTCCCTTGCTAACGGCTGATTTTGCCAGGCAGAAGCAAGTGCTGTGTTCATTTCACCTCTAATCTATTGACAAGGGTAATTTTTAAAAGGAAATATGGCTGTGGTAAAGTGAACTTGACTCTCATTTTTATTAAAGCATTTACCATCACCTCCTTCATAGCCCACTAGCCTGCCAGCACCCTGTCTAAATCAGACCTAATCTCTTCTATTTTACTTCTTTCTTGTCCTAAGTTAGTTCTTTGCAAACATTTATATTTCACTGCCCTTTGCTTTCTTCCCACGCACGATCCAAACTTCTCCGTTGGTATTTTCTAGAACGGGACCTCTGCTCTCCACGCAGCCGTCCTGAGCGGCAACGTGAGGACAGTGGCTCTGCTCCTCGAAGCCGGAGCGGACCCGTGCCTGAGGAACAAGGTACGTCCTGGCACGCCGTCCCAGGCGGGAAGCGGGTGGGGAGCACTGAGCAGCGGAGCTGTGTGTGCCACGGAGGCGGTGGCAGCCCATGTCTCTGTGCTCGTCCATGGTTGCCTCTTGATCCTCTCTTGAAGCACCACCCTTTGGTCCATTCGTTTCTGCATACAAGCATCTACAAGGGTGCTAGGCAGTGCCACTGGTGATGCTGGTTCTTGCGAAGTTACATCAGTCTGGGAGTAACCAGTCATGGGCTAGCTAGGTTGTACTTCAGGGGAGCAGTTACTGTTTTGATAAGCCATAAGCTAAGGAGGGTGTTTCTGCAGCAAGAGAAATGTGTATCTGGATGCCCTTGATAAGAAAGCTTGGTTAGAATTCAGCGCATTGCCAATATAAAAAAAAATCCCAAATTACATGTGTCTTTCCCATATCTTACTGTAAATCTGTTAGCTTACTGAAATAGTTTCATACTCTTTTTATAATAGCAACTTTTCTGCAGAAAACTTGTCTTGGTTTTATTCCGTAAAGTGTTTTAACATTACATGTTTGATAATTTCCATGAAAATGTCTTCATCTGAGTTGTGTTTATGAACTATTTGCCACTAGTATTTGATATCCAGCTGGGCTTGTTAAGCTGTGAATGGGCGGTGGTCTGGTATTTACTTCTCGTTTATGGCTGGCTGAATGAAAGTTTGTAATACAAGTAATTCAGCACAGGCCTTCTGAATGTTTTGGCCGTTTAATATAAAATCTGTGTCCGTTATTTCTGTATCATTCCACTTGATGGCAGCAGAGTCAATGCCTCGCATAAGTAGTTCTCATTAATAGGCATTTTGTTTTGATAACTATTTTCCAGTGTGCAAGATTTTTCTGCTACTGCTGGTTATTTGCAACAGGAGGGTGTGCAGTATAAGAAAGTCTGTGGTTGTAACCTCTCCTACTGGTTTGTTTGTTTGTTTGTTTGTTTTAAATAACATGCAATTTGGCACAACAGAGTACATTGGCAGGATAGAATTACTGATTTTCAGAAGTAGCTTCATTATAAATACTTTGTGTTACCAAAATTGTATTAAAAAAATACAGAAAGCCAAACTCTGATGTTCTATTACCAGTCCTACAGAACAGCACTATTTCATAGCAATTAAAGTACTTCCTTGGGGTTTTATGGACTTTGGTACTTAAAGACCTGCCTCATCTCCCCCCAAAAATCAGCAGCTATGCTCTCTATTACTTCTGTGGCAGAAGCATAGGGAGTCCATTTAGCCTGGACAGTCAGCATGAAATAAGATGACCACTCAAATCCCACACTGGGATTATTTTGAAGACATAAGTGAGACTTGCACACTGAAAGGTGATTTCTTAAGGTATCTCCAACAGTGATGGAGTCAACACTGGAATAAACACATCATTATAATGCCCAGTACCATCTTCTTTAGAATTTAATGCTTTTAAACCACGTTTTGGAAATACTTGTTAATTTCTGATAACCTCAAGGTTTTTTTATTCCAGGCAAATGAGCTGCCAGCAGAACTAACGAAAAATGAACGCATCCTCCGCCTCCTCCGCACGAAGGAGAAGCAAAGGAAAAGCTAATGCAGCCCCGTGGCAAACGTGGCTTGACAGGGACGCGCCCTGACCGCCGTAGCATGACAGTAAACCTAGGTTGCCCGAGAAGGGCTTGTTGGAACAGTTTGCAGAACTGATTAGCCTCTCCAGTACACGCTCCCTGAACGCACGAGGCCCTTGCCGCGGGCCGGGGCCTCCGCCTGGCATGGCTGAACGCAGGGTTTGGCCTGGGAGCTGCGTTTGCCCTGCAGCCTGGCCTGGGCTCCAAGGTCCCCGCCGGCCCCAGCACC